CCCGGGCCGCCGCGTCCCAGGATGCGCCGCCGCCGCCGCCGCCGCCGCCGCCGCTGCTGCTGCTGGGACTCCTGCTGCTGACCGCCCTCTCCGAGCACTGCCTGGCCGACACCGGTAAGCACTTGGCGGCTGCTTTGCACCCATGGAGGTTTCTGGAGCAGCGGGGCCGCCCGTCGGGGCCGGCACCTGGCGGGGTGGCGGTGGATGGAGAGGTCTTTGCAGCACTGGCGCTGGGATTTTCTCCGCCCTTTGCTGCTGCCACAGCAGAACTGTGAGAATCTGTCTCCCGGGAAGGCACCGTTGGGCGGGGAAGTAAAAAGAGGTGCATTCGCATCTTCTTTCTGGACAAGTTGCAGATCCTTCCCAGTGGTCCCGGCAGGCACGCTTCATTTAGATAAAGACATGGTGTGTTAAAGACACCTTAAAAGGCATGTGTTTTAATAGGACACATTTCAGGGTGGGGACGTCCACTGTATTTTGGGCTCCCTGTTGGGTGACCACTTTGTTTTAGCTGCATGAAATGGCCAGAGAGTTTTAGGCAATTCCCGGGTCGGCTTCCCAAATAGCGTTTTTCTCTACATGTTGACAGAAGACCCGTTTTCTTTTGGGATAGAGGTACCTAAAATAATTGCTTGCATCTTGCAAAGGGATCCAGACACTGATCAAGTATATAACCAACTGTCTGCAGGACGATAGTTAAAAATAATTACGCTTGTCTTTTAGACTCCCAAGAACCCCAGGAAATAGATTTCTGTAATTCCTCGGACGATTTTGAGAAATCTCTTGTAACTATTTTTTTTGGGGGGGGTATTCTGCTAATGTGCTTTTAAAACTTACTGTGCAGTCAGGAATTGTCTTTGAAATAAGAATGATTACTATGGCACTTGTAAAGGTCACGCTTTTGTTTGTGATGAAATTCTGGGCTCTTGGTACATTTCATTGATCAAGGAATATAGCTCTCACTTCAGCAAATGGGATCCTGTAGTTATGTGATTTCTAGCAAGGACTAGTGAAGACTGCTTTTCTTCCCAGCGTACTCCTTCCCCCAATTAGATTAAATTTCCTAATTATGAGGGAAATTAAAGAGGGTTTCAGGTTAAAATTATTGCCTGTCTGCAACACCTTAATTCAAAGCCCCCCACCCCTTTTTTTTGATTCATTTAAAGGGTCCCTGACATGAAGAGTCTATGTGTACAAGTTACTGTCTGGAAATTTTCTGTTATGATTATAGTGGTGACAAAGTTTGGTAATCTTTGGGTGGGTGCCTGAGACCCAAGAAAAACCTTTGAAGAATTTTAGCCCCCAGTTTTTACGCCTCTAGCAGTTTTTGGTGATGTGTATTTGGCATAATGGTTAAAAGGTAAGTCCAGAGTCAGACACATGTAAACAACTTAGTATTCCTTGGATCAGAAACACACTTTGAGTTTTTATTTAAAATAAATCAGATCTCTGGGAGTTTTGTAAACTGTTTATGAGATGTTAATTTTTGGATGCTGTTCATTTGTGTGCATATACCAAAAACTGTTCAGCCATCTGGAATATATGCAATTTGGAGCTTATGTATTGTTCCTGTTCAGCCTGATGTCCCATGATTCTCTCTGATCAGCTTTTAATTTCTGTTCTTCCTTTGGACCACTGAGCCTTCTGAGCCTGTGACTTGACTTGGCTCTTCCTTCAGACTGCCAGAGTCTGACTTAGGGGACTGTTGATCTGTATCTTTTAGTTTTAGCCCTGATGTCATTTTTCTTTTTCCTCTTAGTGTGATCATGGTGACAACTAAGAAAGGTGCTCTGATTAAAATGATGGTAAAAATCTTTGAAATTGACACTGTTCCCCAAAGTCTCCTGTCTTCCCCTCTCATTGGAGTGACTTGTTGCTTCCTCCGTGCTTTTTGGGGGTGCCCTCTCTGCTGTCACCCTTGATGACCAATTTCCTGTGGTCTAGCTCACCTGTGGATCCAGAGTGTACCACTGGGCTCCACGGTCTCCTGTGAGTTGGCTGCTGATTCAGTGGCATGACTTAAACCCTGCGCTCCCTGTTCTGCCTCCTACCTGCTTTCATTTGTTCTCTGACTTCCAGTTGAGGCAGTGTTGCTGCAGGGTGGGTGAGTCCTGGGACTCATGCAAGGCATCCTAAGGGATTTGTGTAAAGAAGCAGTGTCTGGAGGGAGGCGGGAGAACGGATGACACTTTTCAGGGAACTTGAACTTCCGACAACCTGGTTTTGGACTTTTGGGAGGGGTAGCTGCAGCTTGGTGCTGCTCCTCGCTATTGAATTTGGCTGACGCCAAGCTGCACGACAAGCCAGACCTAGGATATTAAGATCCTACTAAGAGTGCTAGTTCGCTACTGTCGTGCCCTTGCTGTGCCTTGTTTTCTAAGCAAGGTTGGGGTAAACACTTACCTGGGTTGAAAAATGGGTAAAAATGGTTTGTTTCAGGAAAATCTGTAGCAGTTGTTGAGAACCTTTGTGTTCCGGAGCCCCTACAGTGTCTTCCAGCCTACCTCCACCCATTCCACCCAATGCTTTTGCTTTAACATTCCTGGGGGAATTGGCACTCCTTCTCTTTGTCCTCTAAAGGAAAGGCCTTCAGTGTCCTCCCTCAGACCTCCCCTCCTAGCCTCCACCTCCGCGGAGCTCTTGCTCCCATGCAGTAACTTCTGTTTTGGATATGGGAGACTGGTGTGGGAAAGGAGTTTCTTTAGAGCAGTGAGCTCTGACATCCTCAGCCTCTTCTGCCCTCAGGGGCTCCAGGCAGGATGGTAAAGTTCGAGTTTGACTTCCCAGATTTCTTAACTACTGATCATCCATGCAGTTCATGTCAGTAAACGAGTACCGTGTGCCGGTTGGGTGAAGGTACAGCGCTCATTCCTTTCTGTGACCTTGCCTCTCTGATCTGTAAAATGGGGATAATAGCTCTAATCTCATTGGGTTGTCATGAGGATCGAATAAGTTAATACATCTGAAGTGTTTCAAACGATGCTTGCTATACATAGTAAATGCTCCGAGAATGCTAGCTGTTCTTAAAAAACGGCAGAAATGGACTGAACATTACTGTGTCCAGGTGCTATGAAGGGGACGGGGCTGCAGAGGTGACTAAGGAGAAGGCAGTAGGTAGAAACCCCTCATGAAAAGAGTGATATGCACCCTTGAATTCTGATACCATGTGATCAGAGCTCACAAAATGAAGGAACAGTTAATTCCAGAGGAGTGGTGGCCCCTTAAAGGATGAGTAGGTGTTGGCAGGATTGATGGTGGCATTTCAGGCTGGGGGAGAATAAAGGGTTCTTTGTGGCCAGAGCACAGGATGCCCATAGTGAGGAATACTCCAGATTTTCTCCATGCCCTGGGGCTTTCCCAAGCCCTCCTCACAGGCACCACACCCTCTTTGCCCTTCCCTTTGCCCTTCCATTCCCTTTGCCACCCCTCTTTGCTGCTTCCCCCACCTACTTGTAAGTTCCCTGATTTAGCTGTGTTTCCCTCTTGTCTGTTATGATGCCCAACACGGTGTAGGCACTTATTACATTTTCAGCCTTCTTACACTCCTGTTCCCTCAGTTTGGCTGATTCTGTTTTTGTTAGAATAATTATCTCATTTAAATAATCCACAGTAAGTTGTGAATGGCTGCTTTAGTCGGGAAATGTATTTTGCATTTTGGAAGAAGGGTTTGCTGTTCCTGGGGAACCTCTAATTTAGCACAGAATATAGGGGAGTTAATTTTGAACTAGGATGTCTTTCTTGCGCCTCTCCAACCTTGTACCACGTCATCAACTTGGGAGTTCCATTTGGAACAGGTGCAATAGTTCACTGGTTCATTCCTTCATTCAGTGTGTCTTGAGTGCCTCAGCTTTCTGAGGTCACCAAAATGAATGAAAAGAAACTCTCAGTCTCATGGCACTAGCCCAGTGCTTTCCAAACTTTACTGTGCATGTGCATTACTTGACGATCCTGTTAGCATGCAGGTTCTGATTCAGCCAAGTCTGGGATAAGGCCTGATGCTCTGTATTTCTAGCAAGCACCAGGGGTTCATTGACCCCCACTTTAAGTAGCAAGTGGCAATAAACAAATGACTGTAGGTTGGATGGTGGTAAGACAAATAAATCAGGGTAAGAGGATATGTGTGCGCCCTCACGCATGTGCTTATTGATAGAATGGGGAGGGAAGACATCCATGATCAGATGACATTTGAGTAGCTACCTAAAAGTGGAGGAAGATATTCCAGGTAGAGGGGAAAGCAAGTGCAAAAGCCTCGAGAAGAGATTGTGTTTGGGACGGTTGAGGACCAGCATGGAGGCCATGTGGAATTGAGTGAACAAGGGGACAATGGTAAGATATGACGTTGAAGAGCAGGCTGAGGCCAGATTGTGTAGGACATTTTGGCATGGTGAGAACTTGGCATTTTATTTTGAATGAGAGTAAGTAAGAGGTGACATGCTCTGACTTCAGTTTTAAAAGAATCTCGCTATTGTGGGGAGAAAAGACTCTAAGGTCAGGGATAGAAACAGGTAGTATGGCATGGTGAGGAGTGGTGAAATTTTGGACGTCTTTTGAGGATAGAGCTAATACAATTTTCTAATAAACTAGAGGAGGGGTGGGAGAAAAAGAGAGGAACCAATATGGCCAGTTGAACATAGTAGTCTAGAATTCCAGGCAGATATTGGGTCCAGAGGTATAAATTTGGAAGCCATCAGCATGGGATTGGATGAGAAACCTAGAGAGTAAGTATAGAGAAGAGGGGTGATCTGAGCAATGAGCCCTGGGATACTGCAGCATTTAGGGGTTCAGGGGGAAGAGGGACCAGCAAAAGAGACTGAGAAAGTCTAGATGGGGACTAGCAGTGGACGTTGGGTTTGGAGATGTGGACGTGTTTGATGTCCTGGGAGTAGAGGGGATGGAAGTCTTACGGCAGTGGGTTCAAGAGAGAAAGGAAGAAGAAAAATCAGAGATAGTAAAAAAAGACAACGCTTTTAAAGTCTTTTCTGTCAAAGAAAGCAGAGTGAGAGGGGAGGTGGGTCGGGAGAGTTAAGATGGGATATAATTGCATCATGCTTGTACTTTCTCATTTTTTAACATTAAAGATGTACAGCAGGAGTGTTTGATTTTTTTTTTAAAGA